AGTTGCCATGTCGCTCTGGTCATTCACCGGCTAACGTCCGATTAACGTCTCGATGACTTATTGCTGTGGAAGCGCCGTATATTCGCGCTTTCAGGTGATGATGGCAGTAATTTCCTGCTGAAAATGTAAAGCAAAATAAAGAAGTTGGTGATACTTATATTATTCGATGATGATCGTACTGCAAAGTAAATGGAATCGTATTAATGATTTCTTAGCCGGAAAGCGACGGATTCAATCGACGTTCAACTGAACCTTCGCCGATGACTCTGCGTGCCTTGCCTCTTGCTTGCGCGAGTTTTAAAGAATCAAGATATTGTTCACTCTAGCAGAGTTCGCGTGGTATGTGACTGCCGATATACATTTTCTACTCACCTCTACTTGCCTAGGCCTTCGACACACACACGCCACACGTACACTCACAGACTAACGCTATCAAATAGGTTCTCACGTACAGACTAATATGTGTATGGAAACATGGATTCGGATATAAATGTATATCTGGAGATGCGAGAAATATGTGTGTGGGTGGTTGTGTGTCTACACTCATTATACATTCATCTGTAACTTGTAACATTATAGATTTCTACGTTCTTCTACTCCGTCCTGCAACAAGCCTCGAAAATATGTCCAAGGAATCACAGTTTGAACTTCCATCAATTAACTATTGATTAATAACGGTATCCGGAGAAAAAATGTGGACAATAAAAATTAAGAGGGAATTTTTTTGCTCGACACAGAATACTGTCGAGGATATGGAGTTGTTGTTTTGCTCGCACGCGACGTAAGGACGTACTGAGCGATATCAATGTGTCAACTGTAAAAACGTATCTCTAATTCTTGTACCGTTCCACTGATAAAGCGACTTTGGCGTGTTGCTGATAAATATCCAAGTGTCAATATCACTTACCACAGCACACTATGCATAATTACATTAATATATATTTATATTATTTTATATACAACTCATATATACCAATTATATATATACTGTACTATCGGGTAGGTACTCAGGACATTAACACATATACTGAATATACTCATATTTCATATATATACTAAATATATTAATTTGGTACAATTATATTTTTATATATTCTTGGTATAATTATTATATTTAATATATATTACATATAATGATATTAATCATACAGGTTATTACATATACCATATTAAATATACATATAAATATCCCACTATAAATAGATATACCATCCTAACGGGCTACAGATAAGGTATACCATTCTTTGGAGCGAATATATACTAGTGTATAAATTATAGTTATATTACTCACAGCAAAAGGGTCTACTCTACTACTGAATCTATTTGTACTGACATACAATATCTATCTGGGTGTGGTAGTGATCATATTTATATGCTACTAATACATATATACATAACAGCAAATGCATATTATAGCTATATCACGTATAATAATATACGGTAGTACCTCTACCTTGGTTATATTTATTCAACTAACATATAACGTGAATGCATATTTCATCATATATGTAGCCTGTCATAAATATGGCTATATGAGTACCGGATATGGTACGATAATAATATATATAGTTATGATATACTATATAAAAGACCATTTGTTTATATGCTACTAACGTAATTACTTACCTATAGCATTATACGGGATGCGTGGCTACTATATTATTTCCTTATATAACAGCGAACTATTATAGCTAAAATTTCAAAGGGTTTGAATAGTAACTTTAATTGTAATATTATGGTTTTTCATTTGAGCTATATATATACTGATCATAATAAGTATTATTATAATAACTGTGAGTGAGGTACTAATATTATACTATACTCCGCTACTCTTGGCCGCCGGCCATAATCATTCCTGCTTTTATACTGATGACTGGTATTTTATTTCTTGAATACAGAAAATAAATTCAAAGTGTAAACAGAAGTACATAGTAAATCTACGTATGTATAATAAAATACATATAATGTATATGCTCTTAGAGTAGTTATGAACTATATAAAGTAATTACTAATTATATTACTTTCATAGTATGAAGCGTACAAATGGAAATGAAAGGAAACAAAAAGACCTGGAATGGAAAGGAAAGTCCAAAGATGAACTGTAAGAAACTGTCCCTAAAAGTCAAATCTAGCAATGGGATGGTGGTCAAATGGTTGATGGGTGTCAATTGAACTAGACAACAATAATCAATATTAATACCAACTAGGAAACGACAATGATATTATGATTTACTATTATTATATATATTATTTGGGGCTATACCGGTATAGACGTATATATTATACTCTTTAGCTACCAGTGACGGTCCGTGGTGTGCGTTATGTATTTGTTGCTGTCGCATGTTGTGTCAGATGTAAGAATATACGTGCGTATAGCATTGTGTTGTTATGTATTGATATATATTGCAAAAATATTTAAGTTTAATGATGATAATAAGTTATTCTATAAGTTTATTGCTTAATATATTATTCCTATATAAGCGTAGATATACTAATTGATTGAGTATTTGCTATTGTTATTTTGATATAAATAATAATATAAATTTGTGGTGTGGTGTGTATTAATGATTTAATTAATGTGGTATGGGTGAGTGTTTATTCGCTATTAATGTTACTATTTGGTTAAGAATAGTATGATATGTTACATATGTATGAATAAATAGCTATATAATCATAAGTTCTTATTTATGGATATATAAGTATACAATATTATGGATCATATAAAATCTATTATGTAGATAAAATAGTACTCAATAATATATTAGTATGTATGTATATGTATGTATGTATGTATGCATGCTCATGCATGTAATGTATGTTACAAATTGAGCATGACATTGCATGTATAGTACTATAGTTAATGTTAATCGGGTTGTGTCATAATACTATATGATAGATAATATTAATTATCATATAGATCTCGGATAGGTTATAGCAACTATATATTATTAGGATCAAGTAACATATAATGAGTATACTATATACGCGTATATCAATTAGTATGAATATATATGTGATCATTAATATTATGAATTATTTGAATATTAGCTCGACATTATATATAGTAATATTGAGTAAGATATAGATAGTACATATTCCACATGCGAGGTAATCATATATAGCATAATATATGATGTTTAATAATTATAGTGTATTTTATTAAATAAATATTAATGTAATTGGTCACATATATAGTAGTTACGATCTTTAATAATATACTAAGCAATAATATATATATGTAATATATGTATATAATGTAATTATGATAATGCATTATATTATATATATTTACATAATAGTAAAATAGCTAAGATATATATTAGCTACATAGTAACATGCAGTGATAAAGACAGAATGATAGTAATATATATATATATAGTGAAGTATATAAAAGAGAAGTTTGTCATATGTATATTACTGAGGATGTAGAGAGTACAGTATAATTCAGTATACGTAGTATGGTTGTTATGAAAGTACTGAGGTCAGATAATAGCGGTGAAATATATAGACGGTAAATGCAGATATAGTTAGTACAATAATTACCGGGCCATTATATTATAAACTATATATATTGCATATAATATGTTCCGACTAACTAATATACTATAGTATATATAATACGTAAAGCTGTACCCTCATGCTACGCATAATATATACTATATCCTATATATATTATTATACTACATATATATGTATATATATATTTGTTCCTTATTATACACGTATAAGTAATAGAATATCACCTATACTGCTATTTTATAAATCACTATATTTCCTATATATATATGGTATGCATATTATTTACTAAAATATAGTACTCGTACCCATAATAGTAAATAAAGTAACATGTAGAAGTATAGTATAATTGAAGGAATGGAGAGAGAAGTGCATAGTATATACTCAGGGTTAGAGTGGAGGGTGGTAGCTATAATACATCATTTCACGGGTATAGCCGTGTATAGCTTGTGACAGCTAATACTATATATTATAGCATTCCGGTATACTATAACGGCCAATTTAGTACATGATATAGTGCATATATATTATGCCCATTATATATACTTAGTACTCGTATACGTCCGTATCACTAAGCGTACGTATTTGGAGCCTCCTTGTCTTTACTCGGTAATATATATACTATAAATAGCTATACATATATATCTGTGCTCATACTTATATTTACTCGCCTCATATATCATACTTATACCCCCGTACTTATTATATCATTACTATATATATACTCTATTATCACTATATATACTTGCATAATAATAATGACTTATGCCTATTCGTTACCTCAAAACTAAATACTAATACAACGTGATAGATAACTGTAGTATATGTATAGTATATGTTATGGTATATTAATATATAATATATATATATATATTTTGCATATATATTAATTATATATATATTAAATTATATTAATTAATATATATACCTATATAATTATATCTATTTATTATGATATATATTATAATATATATATATATCATATATTATTAACCATAATTCATATATATTATATATATACATGCATATACATATCACTAACAACACCCATCATAACACATATCACATTATATTATAATATGTTACTTTATTATTATATTAATATATATATATTATATAATATAGTTAATTATATATATATATATAATATATTAATATTATGTATATTATTAATATATTAATACATACATATTACATATATTATGATATTTAGTAGAAAATAGATATGTGTTATGTGTATCATTATATATTATAGTATATGGTGTGTGTAGTGTTTGTTATATTGATATTAGTGTGTGTGCATTATTAGTATGTATATGTTCGTAGTATGTTAAGTTTTTAATTAACACATTATTAATATTAGTAATATTGGTGTGTTGTGTGTGTGTGGGTGTGTTGTGTGGTGTTGTGTGTAGTGGTGTTGTGTGATGTTTGTGTGTTGTGTATTTGATGTTGTGTGTATATATATATTAATTATAATATTA